GTTTGACTAATTCGTGTGATTTATTGAAAATGAATTTTGGTACGAAATTTTAACTATATAATTCTCATATAATACTACTCTGATCGCGCTAAAGAGTAGAGAACGCATGACAATTATCATGAGATCAACCTCGTAGCAGGTTAACAGCATTACAATAAGTTAAGTTGGTATAATTTCTTTTTTCCTAAAGGAGAAGTGATTAGGAGTTCTCTAATGTCATTAAGCGAAAATTTACCTAATAAATAAATAAACAAACAAATGAATATAAGTTCACTAAATTGATGTATACAAATAATATCACGATATATTAGAATAAAATCCAAATGATCGATATTTTAAAAGAAAAAAGTTTAAAACAATTTCGGAGGTCTAAATTTTTAATCAAATGAGAGAGACATCAGAAAGAAAAATGATATATCCTTCAAATGAGAGAGACAACAGAAAGAAAAATGATATATCCTTCAAATTTTGAAGGATACCGATTAGGTTTGTGTGAGCGAAGTGTTGGTTTCATCACTTAACGTCACTTTGATATTATGTGATGGAGTCTATAACCTCACTCACATATTCCTTATTTGACATATTTAAAATTTCACCTTTCACATCAATACATATTGACAAATTATTTGTAATTATGAACTATTTATGTATTTGTGATTAGATCACATCAACAATCAGTATGAATGACTCATTCACCGAAAAATAGACAAATCTCATCTTTATAATAAACCTTCTATGTTTTAGTCTGACTTGTATAGTCTGTATATCATCACTGCATGTTGTTGTGACATGGTCACACATGAAATGCCAAGGTGATCAAGCCATGACTTAATAGATTCTGTGAATCTAATTTTTTTCTTCTTTTTTTTTTTTTTCAAGGAGAGCACAAAGGAAGTTTCTTCATCAGAAAGTTATTCCTTAATATTATTTTATTTTTCTCTAAGCCTAAATCAAAGTTTTCTTCTCTTGAATTATTCACCCCCTTTTGTTGCCTAACTCTCTTTGTTGACCATTTTTACTCATTTATGAACTTTCAAACCGTAACCCTCTCTCAAAAGTAGTTTGAGAGCATCTGGTTTTGAGAGCATCTGCCACTGATTTTGACTGTACAATGGAGGGAATTGGAATTTGTGGTATATGTAGAATTATATGTAGAATTAAAGACTTAAAAAGTGGATTCGCATATATACAAAAAAGATATTTAGAAAGGAAGGGATTCAATTAAACATGTGACTATATTTATCTTTTGATTGATATCCTCGAACCTTCCAAGAATTTTTATGACTTTAGAAATACATCTACACAGTAAGGGCAAAAATGTCATTACACAATGCCCTTTCCTATATATTAATTTAGTAGTGGTACCAAGAGGTAAATTAAGATCCACAATCCTACATAAGAGGGGCATTATCCCGGCCTTATTAATTGGTAGAGTTCCTAACTTCACGAACGGATGTGTCCGTGGACGAGTCAAAGAAAATTCCGACTTTTTCTTCATTAATTTAATTATTGAAGTTAAGAGTCTATTTAGTTTGTTACTAAAAATAAAAAAAAAACATAGTTTCGAATAACTCAATATATAAAAAAATGTTAGTTTTCAAAAAACAATTTAAAAAAACTGTCAACCAAGTAAGTTTTTGTACTAGTTAGGAAACTATTCTAAAAAAATTGAGCCAATCAGGGTCTAATGTTCTTGTCATTTTTGGCCTCCAAAGTCTTAGCTTACGCTATATGTCTTCCATTCCTTAGAGAGGGGATTGAGGGTTTAAGCTCAAACAAAGACATCGAATCCTTTTACTATACAAAGTTTCATGCACTATTGTGTGCCATACAATTTATTTATTTATTTTTAATATGTATTTGTGCAATACACATATAACAATATCAATTGAGTGCAATAACATTTTCACAAGGAAGAAAAACCACTAGATTGAAGATGCCAACTTTCATTAAATCTAATATTATGCAAACACGATTATTTCGAGAAATCGTTACATTCTCAAATTAATTGTGTACAATATGGTCCAAAGGAGACTACAATATAGGATTCGGCTCCGGATTGATGCGTGAGTATATTTTTCAATCGAAAAATGAAAAGTGTCAAAATTGAATTAAGTTTGTATCTCATTGATATCAAAAAGTTAGTCATTTTGCAAGAGTAAAAATAAACGTTGAAGTTTCGAATTGAAGAGGTGACATTTTGTCTACACCCTCCATTCTTGTCTTTGTTGCTTGACTCCATCCATGCCCCACAAGGAGGACCATCATGGTGGGGGTCCTCCAGCATCAGAGACAAGATAAAAAAAGGGAAATCTGCACCAATTTGGGCGGCTCATCACACGAGATGTTCAATAAATTTCAATATATATATATTTAGTAAGAGGGTATTCGTGATTTCGTCCTGACTAATTCAAGGAATTTATTTAAGGTGCTCCCACACAAATCAAATAAAATTCTAACTATGTCCACGCGTGTGATTCGAAAAAATTGTTTACACTTAGGAGGAATCGATCCAAAGATTTGATACTTTATGAGGCACCTGGGGTCCAGGGTCAAGTATTTTTTAACTAGACTAACACTAAGTAACATAATTCTTCTAAACGAGTTACGCTCTCACGCTCCGCGTATATTCTCGCTCATGCACTTTGCGCAAGCTCTTATTCACTATCCCACTATGTGGGACTTAGATTTTGCTGCTTTCGCACACCCACTCCCGCTTCCGCTTCCGCTCCTACTCCGTGAGACTTAGGGCCAATTCCTTGGGGTTAATTCTAGTAATTTCATTATTCTTAAAGATTGTAATCTAGTGGTATCTCCTCAACTTTTTAAAAGAATGGAGTGATGGTAAAAATTCAAGTTCTCTTAGAGACAAATGATTGCATGAGTTTCTTATCAATGAAAAGGAAAAATCATTTTAAGTTGACTTCAACGAATGTGCTTGTATTTGAGTCCGCCTCCATCTAATTTGACAGGATAAAAAAGAAAAAAAAAAAAAAAATACTCTATAAACATTCCCACTAAAAAAATTAAACTATAGTTTTGCTCTTTCTGAAAATATGAAAAATAAAAAATGAAAATTGAAATATTGACCCGTAATTTTACTTTTAAAATTTTTAACAAGGAAAACTAAAGATAAATGAGTTCAAGGCTCACTGAAGATGGGGTTTAAATGATAAATGTGGTTTTCGGACGGTTATATGAATTCACAGTATGAAAAAAATCATCTGAAAGTCCATAGTGACTAACGAGAAAAACAAAAAAACCCACCAAACCACCACAAACGTATTTAATAATCAGCACATAGAATTGTATTGCCGACCTTAAAGCCAGAGGGTGCCATGAGAAAGAAACAAAGCTTAGTTATCAAACACATACATGTTTAATGTCAAAGTTTAGGTGACAAACAAAACGCTGCTGGTTTTCATGCAACTAGTTTGGTTTGGAGCTGCTTGTTTTAATAATGGCCTTTCCAAGGGGCAGGCTATAACTTGCTAACAAGAGAATATTTTTGTTAATTTAGGGAATGGTTCATTTGGAAGTTATTAATGGTTTGCTAAAAAAAAATAGTAAGTTGACCTAATACCTTTGTGTATAAAATCGGTTGAAATAGTGTAAAAAGTTTGTTGAGAGTTTGAATCACATGTCCATATTTATAGTCTCCATTAAGACAATGATCACATTTATAAGAGAATGAGTGTAGCTATGGTATACCAAGTTCATCTAGTGTTATAAACTTGTACATTGAATTAGGTATGGACCTTTTTGTCATATAATTAGAATGACCACATTATGTCCATTTTGATTATTCATTACAAGGGTTTTTGAGTGTAAGATTTGCCTTAACTTTTAAACAAATTGTAAAGTTTTGAAGTCATCTAACCATTTGAGTCTCTTGTGAGCTTTCAATACCTTTCTCCCTCTCTACTTTGATCATTAAATGTGCGCGTTGAGATTCTTAGTAACCAAGAGTTGTAGTTAAGTGATATTTTTTTAATTTAATTTCAAAAGAAAAAATCAAAGGTTCAAATTCCCTTAAAAATATAAGGGTGTGTGAGTTTTTTTGTCGGAAAACCACAAAGTTCAAACGATTACAATTACATAATGTGATAAATAACAACAAAAAAAAAAAAAAAAATGCACTATAACATGCAAATAGATTACCATTGTCACCGTACACTTGTTTGTTTGTGAGTTCCATTTCTCGTGTGATAAACAAACGAAAATAAATTATAATACGAATATGACTTATCACTTTCATTTGTATGTTTATACGTTATTTTTTTTTTTTTAATAAACAATATTTTTCCATCTCAGTGATATGTCTCTTTCGATGATATCATGACATGACATGACATATCAGTTGTAAGGAAGATGAATTTCTCTCTTCTACCCGTAAAATGTGAATTATTGTGTATTCTTTAATACATACTAATGCAATAAGTTTAGAATAATCCACATTGTTTTCACCCATTTACAGAAAAAAAAAAAAAAAAAAAAATCAATGCGCCTTGGGGATTCTAGTAACCATCTTATAAAATGGCCTTGAATGTTGAATGATTCAAACTTGATTTGAATACATGGAAGAATAACGATGGTGAAAGTTTTCATCTGCGCCTTTTACCATTATACCCTTTTAAACAAAATTGTCCTTTTATCCCAACGGCAAACACAGAGTCAAAAAAGTAAAAAAAAAGATTGGAGTGAACAAAAAAACAAAAGAAAAGTAAAAGTGTAAAACTTTTTACCAAGACGAGTGGAAAATTAATGACACTAGTGAAATTAAAAGGTAATAATAATAAGAAAGTAAAAAAGTAATTTTGGTATGAAGAAAAGAGGCACTAAGTGAATCCAAAAAAGGTACACGGAGAATACGCATACCTTACTAGGGCCCTGCCCACAAAAGCTACACAATAGGAGCCGAAAAAGAGGGATGCTTCCGTCCATTAGTGCCTTCGACTTACTTATAAATTGACTACATTACACGCCTCCTTTATGACATTGTGACTTGCTTACCTCTAGTGCGCATGCTAGCTACTCTCTCTCTCTCTCTCTAAACTCCCCTCTCTCTCTCTCCATACTTGTGAGCTAGTTCATCACCTTTCAATTCTTTGGACAGAGACCTCTGTTTTTCTGCTCTGTTCTCTCTTCATTGCCGAACTCAGGTACGAATTAACATTAGTATTTCGAATTCCTCTGACGGGGTTTTCTTTCAATTATATGTACTGATAAATATTTTCTTGATTTGTAGTAGAAAAGGAAATGACAAATCAAGATGTGGTGGTGGTTCCGGATAAGAAATCCGGTGGCGGTGGTGGTGGCATGACGATAACGGTGACCGTGTCCAACTCCACTCTGTTCTCATCGTTGATTCCGAAACCGCCAACTGGGTACTTCACCATTTCTAGGAAATTGAAGAAGGTTGAAATTGAAACGGGTGCCGGAGCTAAAATCAATGCATGGGTTGACAAAATGAGAGCATCTTCTCCAACTCATAGATCATCCCCGGCTTCTACTGATCAAGACCCGAACTCTTGGATTGTATGTATCAAGTTTCATTCTGAACTTTCTTGCACATTCCTTCTATGTGTATATATATAGTGTCTCATGAATTCTTATTATTATTATTTTTTTTTCGAATTTTATTGGAGACAGCTTCGTCATCCCTCAGCGTTAACCATGTTCGAGCACATAACAAATGCTTCGAAGGGGAAGCAAATAGTGATGTTCTTGGATTATGATGGTACCCTCTCGCCGATTGTGGAAGATCCGGACCAAGCTTTCATGTCCAATGAGGTTTGTTTTATGTTGTATTTGGTTCAAATTTCTCTCATATGAGTCATATATATACAGTCTCAGATCACTAACTTTTTATCTTGTTTTGTATCAGATGAGAAATGCTGTAAGGGACGTTGCTAAGTATTTACCTACAGCCATAGTGAGTGGAAGGTGCAGAGCCAAGGTACATTTTGTACATACACTATACATATATATATATATATATATATATATATATGTATGTATATATATATGTCATTAACATTTATGCTAACGAAGTAGTAATAATTTATGCAGGTTTATAACTTTGTGAGGTTATCAGAGCTGTACTATGCGGGTAGTCATGGCATGGACATTAAGGGACCATCCAAAGGTCACAAGTATAAAAAAGTGAGGACTAGTTTACTACAATAATACTACATATGCTTCATTTCATCAAACCAACAATATATATATATATATATATATATATATATATATCTTAGTTTGTACATTAATTTGTGCTAATTTTTGAAAAATTCAGGATAATCAAACGGTTCTCTTCCAACCCGCCAGAGATTTCTTACCCATGATCGACGAGGTTTGTTTTTTCACTTTCTTTCATCTGCATGAGAAGCAAAATAAAATATGCTACAAATATTGAATAATATGTTCATAGATGTTTATTTAATTTGTGGTTTACTATATTTTTTTTCAGGTGTACAAAGCCTTGTTAGAGAAAACCAAATCCATACCAGGAGCTATGGTGGAAAACAACAAGTTTTGCTTATCCGTACACTTTCGGTGCGTTGATGAAAAGGTACAAATCAAACCGTTTTCATTTTTTTTTTTTTTTTGTTCTTGCTTCATAATTAAATTTCAATAACTAATATTACCTTTTTTGGAATAAAAATTAAATCAGAGGTGGACCACTTTGGCTGAGCAAGTTAGATCAGTGCTCAATAAGTACCCCAAGCTCAGACTAAGTCAAGGGAGGAAGGTACTGTTTGGCATTCATCTACATGATTATAGGAAAAATTTTATACAATATAAGTTTTTCTTCCTATGATAAATATTAGGTACTGTTTGGCTGACCATTTGTTGGTTAAAACAGGTTTTAGAGATCCGTCCAACCATTAAGTGGGATAAGGGAAAGGCCCTTGAATTCTTGTTAGAGTCGCTAGGTGAGTTTTGACTCAACTTATAAATATTATATATATGTGTGTGTGAATAGACACATACACACTCACACTCACACACAACACAGCACCACCACCAGCACAACAACAACGAGACCAACCACCCACTTGAATTTTTAATTCACATATATATTAAAGCATTAACACTTTTTTTTCCTTTATATGTCATTATATGTATATAATATTTGTTCACTGTCTTTTTTTAGGTTATGCAAATTCGCATGATGTTTTGCCGGTTTACATAGGAGATGATCGAACGGACGAGGATGCGTTTAAGGTATTGTGTGCTGTTTTGCTACATTCAGTTTGGACAGTTGATCATGTTTTTTCTTTTCTTTTTTTCAACATTGCAAGTCATTTTGAACACATTTATTACAAGTCATTTTGAAATTCTTGTACAATGATATATATAGGTTCTAAGCAAAAGAGGACAAGGGTTTGGGATTCTCGTCTCAAACGTACCAAAGGAAACAAATGCCTCCTACACTTTGCAAGAACCATCTGAGGCAAGAACATTAACATGCAATTTAATTTCTTTCGTTTAATGTTTTATTCAATCATTTAATTAGTTTAATAATTTTGCATGTTTATTGAATTATTATTTGTAAATTTTTTGCAGGTTATGATCTTTTTGCAGCGTTTGGTGGAGTGGAAAAGATCGTTGCTACGAGGACATTAGAGGGCTAACAATGTTGTATTTAGAGAAGAAATTGAACCTACCCTACTCAAAAAGTTGATTAGGGGTGGCTTGGATTTGTGTAGTTTTTATTGTTTAGGTCCACGTTGATAGATAATGAATGAGAGACCATAATTTGAGGTTTTGTAATCTTGAAAAGCATAAGAATATAATTATCATAAGAAACATCTACCCCTTTCTCTATATGTGTACCCTAGGGTTATCGAGAATATAGTACCCTCGATCAATGGTCAGTCAAATAGTAGATACAGGAGTATTCAATATTTTTTTCGTGCACACGTGAAGGAACAAAAGTTCTATGATGCAACCAGAACTAGTGTGAATGTGCATCTATGTGCAGGTTTCCAATCATTTTCACTCAAAATAATTTTTTCATTTTCTGACACAAACTATAGTGCATTTTGAGAAATTGACTAAGACAACTGAGGAGAAAAAAATGGAATTGAGGTATCATTTACTTTTATCATTTTTGTACTACTATTATTCCAACTTATAAGAGCATGGAATCAAAGCATTTTAAGGGTTCCTTCCAAAAGCAATATAACTTTTCTACACTAACAAAATGATGATGATGCCAAGAAACCAAATATTCCAGCCCCTAACATCAGATCTTAGCTTCAATAATGCAAAAGATGCTACTTTAAAACCATTAGAACTCTTCCAAAGCATTTCTCTAATTCAAAGGAGAATCAAAATTTTGAATTAATTGTAAGGCATGTGGCTTTTTAGGTGCATTGTATGTGACCACACTGTGTGGTATGTGACCACACTGTGTGGTGTCTCCATTAGGACATTCAATTTTATTATCATACATCTTAATTTTTAATTTGTCACAAAGTTATATATATATATATATATATATATATATATATATATATATATATATATATGTTTCTTGAAGGAATGTATGGATGGAAAAGGTTAGGGGTTAGATGTTTATGCCGTGCACAAACACTGCTACATGAATTGTATATATAATATGGTTTGCCGTATCGACCTATATACGATTTATCGGTCGGTTCGTAACTTTTTTTAATGATCTGATACCATTACACACAAGGCCGGCTCTGAGACTCCTAAAATTTTGAGAGGCCTTAGGCGAATTTTCAAATGTAAGGCCCTTTATAAGGTTCCATACATGCTGTGAAATTTTCATTAAAATGAGATGATAAACACAAAATGTATTAATGTCGAAAACACACGAAATAAAACCCGATTTTGCTATTCTATAAAGAGCACGATCCAGTTTACATTAAAAAATTAAAAAATATATTCAACACAACTTAGTCACAAAAATCAAAATTCAACTTCATATTAAAATAAATGTGATCATCTTGTATTTTGAGCTGTAAAATTGTGAATTAAAGTAATCTAATTAAGTTTCTCCAACATATCGTCGATTGTAGATAAGATTTGGTCAACTTTAACTTTGAAAAGCTTATCTAGGCAAATGCAACTATAACTGGGATAGTCAATAATACTCTATATGCAATCCAAGCATTTGGAAAACAATAACATAGTTTTTTTATAGCAATCAATACCTCAATTGCCTTTTTTATTCCTCTTGGTAAAGCTTTTCATAAGACTTGTAGCTTTGAAAATAATTCTGTTCCATCAATATTAGAAACTATGTCCTGTTTTAGGAAATCTTCAAGGTTATTTTAGAGAATGTGACAGTTGATTGAAATATCCATGAGTTAAAATTTTTGGTTGTTTAGATTGGACTTAACGGAATCTGCCATGCATGCACATGAGCCCAAAAATAATATAATAATAAAAATACAAAAGTTTCTAAGTTTAATGATAGATTTTATTTATTTATTTATTATTTTTATTTTTATATTTTGATGGGAGGGGACATAAATAAATTATTATTACCATACAAATTGTTGTATTATATATATAAATATTATAAGTACGTGTATTTATTGCCATAAATTTATTTTTTGAAAGTTATATATTGCCATAAATCTAGATGATATTATTGACATTGGAAACACATCACATTATGGCAGGGTAACGTTTCGCAGTTCAATGAATCTTCCACTTATTTGATGGGATGGTTATTAAAAGATTATTTATGGTTAAACTCTTTCCAACTTATCAATGGATATAACCACTTTGGTATGAATAGTTTATTGATCTAGGCATAGATGTTCTTATTTGGGCATCTAGTTTGGGCTACTGGTTTTGTGTTCTTAATTTCATGCTAAAGTAGTAATGAATCCTGTCAGTAAAATGGGTCCTATAGAAAGTCCATCTATTCCCAATCGCCAGTGGAAAAGTTCCATTAAAGAGCGTTTCCACGGGGTAGAACCTCCTAAGAGAATATAAGGTTTTCATGAGGCTGATCTTGAGCGGCCATCCAAGCACGAATACCTCCGTTTAAAAGAATATTTTTGGTGTAGAAAGTCTCAAATTCAGGATCTTCTGCTGTGCAGATTTCTTGAGAAACGAAGTCATAGGCACGTGGGTTCAGGGCTAGGCCGACTACTCTAAGAACACTCATCCATAAACCGGTTACTGGTACAAATAAATGTATATTGTCTTTTAATTATGCAAATTATGGTCACACATACATACTACTATATTTGCATTATGATCCTAAATTTGAGACCCTTCCAAATTGGAGGCCCTAGGCGCCTTGGTCGCCTTGCCTCAAGGCTGGCCCTTGTTACACATCTTTATGAATCGGTTGGTTTATACCGATATTCGTTTGAGTCCGTTATACCGCCACCACAGCCGATACTGTAACTGCGAAAGTATCATGTTAATTTGCTATAACGTACGCGCACACAACAAAAGTTATGGTACTGTTTGGTTCAATTACGTGAAAACGGTTCTCTTCTTTTAATCATGTTTTCATTGGTCATAAACTGTTTTAAAAAATTGTCAGTGAAATATACATTTTTTATTTTTTATTTTGCCTTAAAAAAACTTTGAAAATAATGTAAATATTTGAACTAAGTGTTTCATAGGAACAAAATCATCTCTTGTGCTACAGGAGAACCTGTGCCATCAGGTGAGTTAAAATGGTAAAGGTTTAAAAAAAAAAAAAAAAACATTTGTTTATACATACACAGATACACACAGGATACTTTGAAATGTACGTTAGCAAAATGTTGGGATGCTGGTAAGGAAAAAGTTAAGATGTACGTTAGGAAAATGTTGTGATGCAAGGCCAACGTCTCAATATTTTCCTAACATATATCACAAACAAGAGAAAGAGATGAATAGTGGGATGCTGGTAAGGAGAAAGTTGGGATGTACATTAGGAACATGTTGTGATGTAAGGCCAACTTTCCAATATTTTCCTAACAGGTATCGAAAATAAGATAAAAAGATGAGTAGTGGGATGTTGGTAAGGAGAAGTTGGGATGTACGTTAAGAAAATGTTGTGATGCAAAGTCAACGTTCTAATATTTTCTTAACATGCATCCCAAACAAGATAAAAGAGATGAATAGTGGGATGCTGGTAAGGAGAAAATTGAAATGTACGGTAAATCCTCTTGGAAATGTGATGGAAAAGCTTCATAAGTCAAAAATCTTGGAGAGAAAATGTTGTGATATAAAGTATCAAGATAAATTTATTTTTGTATTTGTATAATAAGTAATTTAATACAGTAAATTTTTTTGTAACTTGTTTGGACAATGACGTGGCTCAACAAAAGCCAAACAATGTTCACCGACTCTGACGAGAGGATTGTAACGCTAGAGAGGATTTTGTTCCGTGTTTCATTCCCCTTGCAACCAATATTTTCCACTCGGTAAACAATATAATAATAGAAAGCATCTTAGTAGGTTGTAAAGACACTTAAGGGACTCAGAGACAGCTAGACTGATGGAAAATTAGATACATTTTGTCGTGTATTAAGATTTTAATAAATGTTATTTATTATTTTTTGTTCTTGTTCAAGCGTTTACAGTAGAGTAACAAAAGTAAGTAAACTTAGGAAAAGTTCACATCAATCTGTTTTCGAGTGTTTGTAACTGTAGCTTCTGATGTGCAAGTTGATGCTACACTTCTCTAACTACAGATATAATGCGCAATTATTTACAGAAAAAATGCTTCTACAAATTTTTTTTTTTAATAGAAAGTAAATATGAAAGGAGCGACCAAAGTCCTAATTTTAGTTCTCGTGGCCAAAAATGTTACGTCTTTGCATGGATAAGATAGTGAAAACCATTAATGGATACTGTTAAAAAAAAAAAAAAAAAAAAAGAAAAAATTTTACACATTATAGTTTAAAATAAAACCTCTCATTTTCTGTCAAAGATATATATATATATATATATATATATTTATTTTTTTTTTGAAAGTTAAAATAATTACACATGCATCTTACCTTCACCAAAGTTTGAACTCCCAACCTTTCCTTTAGAAGAAAGGAGTGATATTGCTGAACTATTCGATTCTTTGGTCAAATAATAATAGATTTCCAGCTAAGAAACTTGATATATATCAAGATATATATTTTGTCATCTTTTCAAAGATCAATAATTGACAGACCACATACACAAACACAACCCTATATATATATATATATACACACACACACACGCACACACACATATCATGATAGAATTTCTTGTCACGTAATCAGAACCTTCTTTCCTATATCACTTAAGTAATTTTTCATGTGTGTGTTTGAAGTCAAGTGCTCTCATTATTATGTCCCAATCTAGTCTTAATAAATGCTCCTACCGTCTTTAATTGCAAATTATTTATAATCTTCATTGATATATATATACATATATATAGAGAGAGAGAAATAGAGAGAGAGAGAACATGAATATGGTACAAATTATATGTTCTGATTAGATAATTAATTAAGATGTACAGCTAAAAGTATAGAGCCCATGCTTCTAATTAGGAAGCACAAACTAACTAATTAGTTAATTAATGACCCTATTATATGTAGTCTTTGAAAGAAGAGAACATATTAGACACCTATACAAGATTAAGATATTAAACCCTAAATGGATGGAAACGAACGCCATTGCACATCAACACATGTACAGACCTAATCTATTGGGCATTTAGATTCGTGATAGTCCACCTCAAAAGATGAGAAATAGATCTTAGTTGTGTTTTTTTTAATGGATTCGAAATCTAGTTTATTGGGTATTTTCAGAGGGTTAGGTGGTGAAAGAGAAATCCACTTGTATGTAGGAAGAAGAAAAATCCATGGTTGAAGTAAGAGTTGGACTCCACTTAAAGTGCTTGATGTGAAGAAGACATGGATATTAAATGGAGACACCA